ACACGCCGCATATACGTGTGCGCTCGACGCGTATATGCGGCGTATTGCCTGTGTGCGTGCGTGCGCGCGCAGACGTGCTATCCCCACTCTATCCCCATCGCGACAGCGATGTAGCTGGTAGTCCAAGCTGGCATCACTGGCCCGAGCACGCGTCGCAGCCGCGAGCGAACGCGCCGATCAGCTGGGGCCACGAACGGCCCCGGAGATTGACGACCAGGCCCGAGCGAGCAACGCGCGCCGCTACGCACGCGCAACCCCGAGCGGGCTAATGAAGCGTGTCAATTAGCCCCTATAAAAAGGGGAAACCGAGCGCTAAAAATAACTCCTTTGGAGACGAGCATCCGAGCAACAGCCGCTCATCCGCAAGTCTCAAGACCTGACTCCTGTCACACGCTAAGCAGTGGGAAACCCGCGTTGGAGAGTACTCCGGCACGGTTGAGTTTTCTCAACACTGCGCACGCGTGCTTACCTGCACACCGTACCCGGACACACACCGAGGATTCTCGGGCCCGGGTACAGCTACCTGACCGTAGATCGGCCGACGGCTCACAGAGACCAGGGAAGTGGAGGGTACTCCGCTTCCGCCGAGTTTTCTCGGCACCCGCAGCAGCCAGCCGATTCCCGTCTAGGCACCGCGCCACCCGCGACCGATTCCCGCGCCGCGAACCGTCACCCGCGTTTCATCTTCATCTTCATCTCACGTTCATTTCACCGCGCGTCACACTGTACATACTTTCATTTCACCGCGCCGCACGCTGTACATATCATTTCATCCCGCGCCGCGTCCGTCCGTCCGTCCGTCCGTCTGCGACCGTTCTTAGATTTAGTATATATCTTGCATCCACGTTTTTCTTCGTTCAAATATAGTTTTGCTTTTACTTTACTGTAACTCTGTTTCGAGTGCTTTCCCTAATCCCTCGAACCCTGCCACCGGCGAGCATAGTCCGCGGGGAATACGATTAGGCGATCGTTTCATAATTTAAGAAAAATGTACAAAATAAGAGAAAAAGAATTTTTGTTTGAAAACATATAGCTTGTATAATATATGTGTGAATTGTATTATATGTGTACTCACTTAGCTTTAAAGCCCTGTGCTTGCAGTTCCCCACTACTAAATACCATCACGAGTCTCGGTCCATCGCTAACTATGTGGCTCGGATTGCTCTTGTTACCACACATCTCGTAATCAAATTTGTCATAAGAATCCGTCGCTTCTTGACCTTTTAAATATAATTTTAGGTAGCCATCGGTACATGTTGTTCTGAGAAAGCCCGAAAGAGGATCCAATGTACAATGCATAATTTACATACATGAATTTACACACCATTACACTGGCAATATTTGATAAATATACTCGATACTTACTCTCCTTTGGGTATTTGTATTGTAAACATTAAAAATTCCAGTCGCACACGCTCTAGATGTTGCGAGTCCTGCATACCATAGATAAAATAACGGCAGACAACCTTTGGTATATAAGGATATGGAAAATTTGGACTAACTACATATCCTGATGTTTCTTTCTTGCTAAGGATCTTTTGATCACATTCAGATCCACGGATATGCTCGCCATGGTACTCCGTTATAAAGTCTATGCGATGGAGAAGATAATAGGTATTGATTAATAAAATTATAAAATTTCATAAACAATAAACGGGAGTTATAATCATCTTACCCAGGCTCACAAAACTTTCTGAAAACTCAAAGATGCCTTTAAATCCTCGATTTTGCGTATTTGCTGTGCGCTTCAATGTGGAAAATAGCACAAACAAGTTGTTTTCCGAAGAATATAACACTAAATTTCGTTGCTGGCCGCAATATGTACCAATAACGGCGGTCGAATTATTAGGACCGTCATACACTTTCACGTAATCTAGCGGACAACTATGAAATAATTTTAAATTTTTTGTTAACTTGAATTAAACCATGTTATATCATTAGATACCTACTGTGTACAAATAGATTAAAAAATCTAACATATTTATTTATGTAAAGAATGGATGATCTAACACATTGAAATTAATGTCTTTTACTGTAGCTATTCTTTATTACGCATTATACAGGGTGTCCGAAAAATCGCCTACTCCACTTCGGGATGTGATTTGGGACCCAAAAACAAGCAAAAAAGTTCATACAAACATAGGACCGGAAATGAACCGTTTCCGAGTTATAGCTACTTTTATGTTCAAAAATCGTAATTTAGAATCCGCTTGGCATCCCTCTTTCTTAATTATTTCTTAAATTAAAACTTTTTATTTTTAAATTTGTATTTCTAATTTTTAATTTTAATTTTTTTAGTTTTTTCAATTTTCTAATATTTGTAATAAGGGCCTGCATTCGTGCTGAAGGTGGTTATTTTGAACACCTTATTTAATTCGATTTAAATATCTGTTCATGTTTACTTTAAAAATAATGTAATTGTAATTGTAATATTGAAAAATTGAAAAAGACAAAAAAATTGTAATTAAAAAAATTGAAAATAAAAATTTACGATTTTTGAACATAAAAGTGGCTATAACTCGGAAACGGCTCATTTCCGGACCTATATTTGTGAGAACTTTTTGGCTTGTTTTTGGGTCCCGAATTACCTCCCGAAGTGGCGTAGGCGATTTTTCGGACATCCTGTATATAAAATTTTTAATATCTGAAATAATTCTGGTGTTAATGTACATACTGTGGTCCCCCAAAGAACAAATCAAAGTCACGAAATTCCAACCGTACACGTTGTCCTTTCTGTCCAACAAATTGATAGGTACAAATAAGATCTTTCGGATAAGTACCGGGGTAAGTGGGAGACAGTATGTTTCCGGTCCGTTTAGTTTCTGCATGTATTATGAAAGAACACGGCGTACCTTGCTCTGGTGTACCGACCTCATACTCAGCTGCGAATAAATTATATCAAATTATAAAACTATAGCGTTTTTATACAATCGAATCTCCGTATTCTTAACACCTTTAGTCTTAATACTTTCTTCTGCGCTGCTTTGCTATTGTTTTTCACAGAGTTGGAAAGTTTAACTCAAGTTATATGTGTTCGATAACTAGTACAGGGTGCGTCATCTCAAGCTTCGGTATGGAAATATAGAATAACTTTGACTTTCTCAACCGATTGGCTTGGGTAGGTATGTTTTGTAAGCGTCAATTCGGTACACTTTTAATCATGAACAACCTAACACCGAAAGAACGCGCCGAAATAGTGACGCTGTACATTGAAAACAACACCAAAAAAAAGTTGACTGGCCCTAAGACCAGACCAGTGTATTCTTATGTATTTTGACCCACTGAATCTGAATCCGAGGTCAGAATTAAAGAATTACTAGCTTTAACGTCCCTAACCTCAAAAAACTCATAATTTTACGAAACGGGCACTTTTGCTAGACGTACCCACCCCTCGGTCTGCGGAACTAAAATAATATGAACATGTTTTTTTTAGTATTTTACCCGCTGAATACGAATCCGTGGTCAGAAATGCTCCAACAGGTCTCAAATCCTCCCTAAACAAAAAAATGCATTAAAATTTCCCCCAACTGCTTCTTGAGCTATTTTCTTGATTTATGAACATCCCTAAAATCTGGGCATATAAACGTTGTAAACGACCCCTTAGTTAATCCTTCAAAAGTTCTACTTCCACCTCTTCACATTAAACTGGGTCTAATCAAACAATTGGTTAAGGCTCTAGATAAAAAGGATAAGTGCTTCCAATATCTTCAAGGAAAGTTTACAAACATCTCCGACGCAAAATTAAAGGAAAGAATCTTTGATGGACCTCAAATCAGAACGCTGATGAAGGATGAAACTTTTGTTACTACGATGAATGATACAGAGAAAGCTGCTTGGTTGAGTTTCAAAAACGTCGTCGAAAATTTCCTAGAATTACAAAAGTCCAATGTACAAAGAAATAGTGTCTGAAATGGTTGAAAACTATAGAAGAATGGGTTGCCTGAAGAATCTAAAGCTGCATTTTTTGGATTCTCATGTAGATTACCTTCCAGAAAATCTAGGCGATTATAATGAGGAACACGGAGAACGATTCCATCAGGACATTCAAGAAATGGAGCGTTGACATCAAGGGAGGTGGGACGTAAATATGATGGCCGACTTTTGTTGGATGCTAAAAAGGGAAGTATCACCGAGGGAAAAGAAGCGTAAGAGAAAACCATTGCACAGATCCTTTGAGAGTAAAAGAGTCCGATATCACAAGCAGAGATAGTGATTGAAATGTTTTTGCAGCTCTAATAGACTGTTTTGCAAGGTGAAAAAAAAACTTATACTCTACTTAAAGTAAAAAATTCAATCGTTTTTTAGCAGACTCTTGATTGATCAAGAATTTCATAGTAGAACTTCATAAATCAAGAAAATAGCTCAAGAAGCAGTTGGGGGGGATTTTAATGCATTTTTTTAGTTTAGGGAGGATTTGAGACCTGATGGAGCATTTCTGACCATGGATTCGTATTCAGCGGGTAAAAGTACTAAAAAAACATGTTCATATTATTTTAGTTCCGCAGACCGAGGGGTGGGTACGTCTAGCAAAAGTGCCCGTTTCGTGAAATTTAGTTTTTTGAGGTTAGGGACGTTAAAGCTAGTAATTCTTCAATTCTGACCTCGGATTCAGATTCAGCGGGTCAAAATACATAAGAATACACTGGTCTGGTCTTAGGGCTAAACAACTTTTTTTTGTGGGGCTGTGCAATCATTCAGCTGTGTTAACTCAACGAGCATACCGTCGAAAATATCGTGGTCGAAAAGCGGCTTCCGACAACACTATTCGTCGTTTGGCCACAAATTTTTTTGAGCACGGGTCAGTGGCTAATCATGGACAATACGTTCGTCAACGCCCAAGACGTTCCAATGAGCTTATTTCAAAGCTCTAAGAGAGAGTGTTGCCGAAAATCCAAATGTCTCGTATCGCTACCGATCTCAACAGTTAAACGTCAGTGGAACCATGGTGGAAGTATACAAGGTGAACCATTCCCGTGGATGCGCAGTAGCCTAAAAGTAGTGGGGACGATCCATCCAATAAGAGCCGTGCTTTTTTGCTTATAGATTAGGTTGGGTTATGATTTGTTTGACCGTTCAAACTGCCGCCACACAAAAAAGCACGCCGCTTATTGGCCGGATGGAAGGCTACCCCCTCTCTTCATGCGCAATGGTTCACCTTGTATACTTCCACCATGAGTGGAACTACTTTGAGATGAATTTTGAAGGATGATCTTCACTTGTTTCCGTACAAAGTGCAATTGACTCAAAGAATATTGCCCACAAACAAGCAGCGTCGTTTGGATTACGGTAATAACGTCATTTGAATGGTTGAAAGTGTGCCGGATTTTTGGAAGCAAATTTTGATAACCGTCGAGGCGCATTTCACACTCTCTGCTGGTGTTAACAAGCAAAATTGTTGTATTTGGGGGCCTGAAAATCCTCACCAAATTCATGAAACACCATTGCACGATCAGAAAGTGATCGTTTGAGCCGGCGTCTGCTCGCAAACCATCATTAGGCCATTTTTCTTCAAAGTTAGAGAGACAGTCAATGGCAATCGATATCGGTGGATGTTGGTACACTTTGTGTGTCTGCAAATGCGTGAAAATGGTCTAAATGACTTCTGGTTCCAACAAGACGGCGCGCCATGCCACACTGCAGCCCAAACAATGAAGTTTTTGCAACAAAAATTCCCTGGACGTGTGATGTCGAAAAATGGTGACATTGACTGACCACCTAGATCACCAGATTTGATCCCTCCGGACTTCTTTTTGTGGGGTTATTTGAAAAGCAAAGTGTACGCCAGCAATCTGAAGACCATTGACGAGCTCAAGGACAATATTAGTGCCGAAATAGCTGCTATATTGCCCAAAATGCTCGAAAAAGTGATGGAATATGCCGAAAAAAGAATACATTTTACAATTGCGAATAAAGGCGGCCACTTGATCGATATTATATTCAAAAAGTAGTCCACAAAAATTGTAAAAACCAAACTAAATAAAAAAACACCACTTTTCAAAATCGATTGTTTTTTCTAAAAGTTATTCAATATTTCTATATCAAAGCTCGAAATGGCGCACTTGATTTAATAGTTATATTAATAGTTACTTTACATTTTAAACCTCCACAGATTACATTAGGTCTTGCATTTACACATAAACGCCTGTATCGACACTTTATTATAAAGTAACTTTCCTAACCCTAGTTTTTCATCTGTCACATAATAATACATAAAATAAGAAAGTAGATAAAATATGAAAAATGAGAGATATGACAGGACTATTATATGAAGCAAATGTTATCTCACATATACCTCTCATCCAATATTTCTATATATATGTATATCTTTAAGTACAGGGTGGGGAAAAAGTATGGCTTAAGAGGATGCTAAACCCGTCTGTTTTATCGACATTTTTGTTTAGAACTAATCTTTTAATTGGCTTTATAGAAATGCAAAAGTCTGTTACGGAATTAAAGTACGCAGCAAAATCTATACTATGCTGGTCGACTTTATATCAAAAATAAAAAAAAATTACAAATTTTACTAATTTTTGGCATATTTGACGACAATATTTGCTTGATACAAGAATTCTACAATAAATATGTACAAAATAAGACCAGGATAGTCTAGGGATAACATATAAGAACAATATCGTGCAATTAGAACTAAGATTAATAGCCTAGAAAAAAAGATTACTTCTAATTACCGCAAGTCTAAAAATCCAATTCTAGAAGACGAAAAAAAGATTAGCATGGCGTGTAAAAATAGTTGCAGGCTTCCTCGAGAGATGTTACTGCCAAATATCTGTCAGATTGTCGGTAAAGTTATGGTGTCGACGATTCTAGAATTTGATCTAAAATCTCGGTCTGAGCAATGTGTAGCTAATAAAATTGCTGCTTTTTCGTAAAAGTTGATTGGCTATAAATTTCTCGGACCGAATTCTAACATCGTGAATACGAGATCATATATATGGTATGTATACATATACACTACTTTCTTATCTGACAGAAGAGGTTATCTGAAAATTTTTGTGTGGGTAATAACCCACATAGTACATGATATCACGTAATATATCAGTAATACGAGGGCGGTTCAAATATGATCGAGACAAACGCTGTAGATGGCGCGCCTGTATGTTTTGAAGGTCGCGGCTTGAGTATGTGATAGCTGGGTCCCTTACGAACAGTGTGGCATAGTTTTCGTCGCGAACGCACGTTTCAT